TTTGTTTACCTGTCCCACACCCATGTACTTTACTGATGTAGAAAGATAGTTTTTAAAATCGTACTCACCACAAAACATCAACTTTTTGGGGTGTGACTTCATGCCATTTGTGTACAGTGATATTTGGGCCACACGCGAAGATCCTCCAGCAGTAGATCCCTTCTGAAAATGTTTGAATACTGTATTAGATTTTCTTCTTAACTGGAAACTACGCGAAAACGCACCTAACTTTTTTTTATTTAAGCTCCGATATACAGTATGGTGGCCAAAATGAGGTGGATATTACACTCACTCTTTACCTTGTCGTATACGTCTACAGAAAATTACTATAGTTTACAGTTATAGTACCTACAAAAAAAATTCACACAGAGAATAATAGTGAATATTCTCCCATGATATATACAAAACAAATATTGGCATACGTATCAAATTAAAAAAAAAAAAAAAACGAAGTTCTACAAATAACCTACGACGATATTGTAGAACTGTGAGCCACAAACTAGACAAACAGGAATGCTCATCTACTACTGAAGAAAAAAGTAACCTCGGTGGGTTTCATCATGTACAGTATATAAATTTACAATGTAAAAGGCTGTACATTTGGTTATAAACCTGAGGAGGGAATATATACTAAAATGCTGTCAAGTGTTTTAGATCATAACACGAAACAATTAACGACTGTAAAATTACTTAATTGAACAAATGTCATTTAATTCTGTTACATTGTTACATGGCGTGTTAACTCCTTTATGTACGATGCTAGTCTTCCGTTAGGTTAGGTTTGGTTGGATTAGGTTGTGTTCTACCATAAATGACCATATCTTTGAATGTTTAATTGTTTTTGTTTTTTTATCAGTGGTGATTGTGTTTCTCTGAAACATCCAATGTCCTCGTAAAATATGTATAAGCAGTACTCTCACTCACTCTAGCCCTTATGAGTACATTATCGAATACACATGACGATGATGGAACTAAGGTTGAACGAGCATCCTATTTAAGGGGCACAGTAAGCCATTAGTTGTTGAATGCTGCTCTAAACATTAGGCCACCCTGCGCCATAGCAAGAGAGACTTGCATGAAAAAAGTGCGTGTGTGTGTGTGTGTGTGTGTGTGTGTGTGTGTGTGTGCGCGTGTGTAATGCAGCTTTAGTCTCTTACTTTTCCAGTTGTAATGTAATACTGTTTTGTTGGCAGGTGAAGATGCCGGGGACGAGGAGGTCCAAGGAGGGTCAACGACGAAATGGGGGAGGGTCGCGCCCACACCTCCCTAAACGGTCTGCGTCGTCAGCCAGCAGCCTGCAGAGGAACCGTAATCAAGACGTGGTCATCACCAGTTACACCACCGTCGACTCAGAGCTCCCACCCCTCCCTACCACCATCTCCAGGAGTAAAAGCTCGGCCGCCGCTACCACTAACACCAGCAGGAGTAACTCAACACATCGGATAAGCCTCTCTCTTCTTCCTAATGGTTCTGGCGAAGGGAGAAGGATTCGTGGCGCTTCTCCCACCTCGAGGACATCCGCGGGTGTGTCTACAGCTTGTCTGACACCCTCGGGAACTATTCACAAGCGTTCCTCCTCTTCGCCACGCCGCTCCAACAGGCCTTCTGAAGGGTATAACACATCATCGGAGACCTCGTCGCCGTCCGCGTCGCCAGGGACGACGATACGGTTGGACGAGGACGAACTGACATGTGCAATCTGTCTGGACTTGCTGCATCGCCCACGCTCCCTCCCCTGCGGTCATACCTTCTGTCTCCTCTGTCTCCAGAACTACGTCAACTCCTGCAGGTAAAAATACCATAAGTGAGCGTCAATTGACAAGAATAACAGAAGCCTATATACTGTACGGGTATGTATCCGTATACCTTGGTACACACACACTCCCAGGAACACATACCTGTACTTTGATGCTCATCCCTACAATGCTTAACTTGTATTATGCTTCTTACGAGGAAACTTAACCCTCCCTCATCCTCTTATACTGTACATCCTCCTAGGAAATTTATTCCTACTTAGTACACTTGCTCCTAGGAGACGTCCCTTATATGGTCACTCCTCATTATGCTTACTCCTGTGTGGTCTTCCAGGACGATGTTCACGTGCCCATCTTGTCGCGGGGCGGCTCAGGTACCCAGCGAGGGAGTGATGGGCCTGCCTACCAACACCATGCTGGCTAAGGGCGCCAAGCTACTGAGGGAGCGACAAAAGAAAAGCTCCGGGACGCTCGTCTGTGCCTCCTGCGAGACCTCGCTGGACGTAAAGGCGTGTGGGCACTGTAAGCAGGCGTGGTGCGTGGCGTGTAGCGCAGGACACCTAGAACAAGTTAAGGCTGACGTGACGGAGCTGAGGGACCGTCTGGCCAGCGCCCGAGACACACTCTCCTGCAGGGCTGAAGAGGACGAGGTAAGACACCCACTTTATCCTCTCCTATCTCTTTTTTTTGTCCTTCTACCATCTCTTCCCATCTTCCCTTATTCTTACCCTCTACTCTTCCTCTCCTTCATCCTTCCCTTCTCCTACCCCTTCTTCCTCACCCTTCCTTTCTCTTAACTTTTCTTTATTCCTAACTACTCTTCTTCCTCCTCCTGCCCCTCCTACCGTCTCCTCTTATCTCTCATTCCTCCTCCTCTTACTAACTATCCCTCCTCTTCCTTCAGCCACAGGATTTTTTTTCCACTTAGCTCCTGAAAGTTGTATAACACGTGTTCTAAAACCTGAGAGCCAGAACCACTAACCTAATATCCGTGCACCACCAGAACCATTACCCTGACCTAGCACCACCAGAACCACTAACCTTATATCCTTACACCACCAGAACCACTAACCTAATATCCTAGCATCACTAGAACCACTGACTCAACCTCTTAGCGCCACTAGAACCACTGACTCGACCTCTTAGCAGCATTAGAACCACTGACTCGACCTCTAAGCACCACTAGAACCATTGAATCGACTTATATACACTATTAGAATCACTGACTCGACCTCTTAGCACCACTAGAATCACTGACTCGACCTATATCACTAGAACCACTGACTCAACCTATAGCATCACTAGAGCCACTGACTTGACCTATAACACCACTAGATCCACTGAATCGACTTATAGACACTACTAGAACCACTGACTCGACCTCTTAGCACCACTAGAATCACTGACTCGACCTATATCCCTAGAACCACTGACTCGACCTCTTAGCACCACTAGAACCATTGACTCGACCTCTTAGCACCACTAGAATCACTGAATCGACCTATATCACTAGAACCACTGACTCGACCTATAGCACCACTAGATCCACTGAATCAACCTCTTATCACTAGAACCATTGACTCGACCTATAGCATCACTAGAACCACTGACTCGACCTCTTATCACCACTAGAACCATTGACTCGACCCTTAGCACCACTCAGAATCCTCACTAGAACCACTGACTCGACCTATAGCACCACTAGAACCATTGACTCGACCTCTTAGCACCACTAGAATCACTGAATCGACCTATATCACTAGAACCACTGACTCGACCTATAGCACCACTAGATCCACTGAATCAACCTCTTATCACTAGAACCATTGACTCGACCTATAGCATCACTAGAACCACTGACTCGACCTATAGCACCACTAGAACCATTGACTCGACCTCTTAGCACCACCATGAAGATCACACCACTGACTCGACCTATAGCACCACTAGATCCACTGATATCACACCTCGACCTATAGCCACTAGAACCACTGACTCGACCTCTTAGGCGAATCACTAGAATCCACTGACTAGAACCACTGACTCGACCTATCACTAGAACCACTGACTCGACCTCTAGCACCACTCCACATCGAATCACTAGAACCATATCACTCGACCTCTTATCACTATCGACCTCATCATATAGCATCACTAGAACCATTGACTCGACCTCTTAGCACCACTAGAATCACTGAATCGACCTATATCACTAGAACCACTGACTCGACCTATAGCATCACTAGAACCATTGACTCGACCTCTTAGCACCACTAGAATCACTGAATCGACCTATATCACTAGAACCACTGACTCGACCTATAGCACCACTAGATCCACTGAATCAACCTCTTATCACTAGAACCATTGACTCGACCTATAGCATCACTAGAACCACTGACTCGACCTCTTATCACCACTAGAACCATTGACTCAACCTCTTATCACCACTAGAACCATTGACTCAACCTATAGCATCACTAGAACCACTGACTTGACCTATAACACCACTAGAACCATTGACTCGACCTCCCAGCACCTCTCACCACTACCACAGCCACTGACCTCCCCTCCTGACACACACACAGACGCGGTTCAGCAAGTTGGAGGAAACGATTGTGGAGGCGGTGGAGGAACAAGTCGCTCACCTACAGGAAAAAGGAAAGAAAATTACAGAACAGGTGAGGTTCTTTCCTATTACAGAACAGGTGAGGTTCTTTCCTATTACACACCTGTTAATTCCTTCCCCCACACGCACACACCTGTTTGCTATATCCTACACATACACCTGTTAATTTACGCACGCACACACACACACACACACTTGTTGACCTCATAATTGTCTCCCGTAATTGATTTATAACAAGATCGCCAATTAGTGCACTGGTCTGTTGATGTAAGGTGACGCACATACACACACATACACAGCTTTTGGTTGTTATCTTAGTAAACTTTTAGAGAACCTTTTCCATTCGTGATATTTAGTGAGCTCTGAGCTGATGAGACAAGTTGTAACTGTGAGTCTTAGAGAGTTGCTCCATTGGCGAAACTTTTGAGACCTGTTTCACTAATGAGCTTTTTAGAGTTGCTATATTAGTGAAACTTTGGAGACCTGTTCCACATATGATCTTTTTAGAGTTGTTCCATTGGCGAAACTTTTGAGACCTGTTCCACATATGAGATTTTGAGAGTTACTCCATTGGCGAAACTTTTGAGACCTGTTTCACTAATGAGCTTTTTAGAGTTGCTATATTAGTGAAACTTTGGAGACCTGTTCCACATATGATCTTTTTAGAGTTGTTCCATTGGCGAAACTTTTGAGACCTGTTCCACATATGAGATTTTGAGAGTTACTCCATTGGCGAAACTTTTGAGACCTGTTAAAACTCGTGTAACTCAACAGGTACATGAACTGAGACAGGAGAGTCAACAGAGATCCCACACGCTCACCCAGGACATAGAAAAAGTATTGGCCTCCTCCATCACCACCCAGGAGACCACAGAACCCAAGGTGAGTCATTGTTACCTGTCCTCCATCACCACCCAGGAGACCACAGAACTCAAGGTGAGTCATTATTACCTGTCCTCCATCACCACCCAGGAGACCACAGAACTCAAGGTGAATCATTATTACCTGTCCTCCATCACCACCCAGGAGACCACAGAACCCAAGGTGAGTCATTATTACCTGTCCTCCATCACCACCCAGGAGACCACAGAACCCAAGGTGAGTCATTATTACCTGTCCTCCATCACCACCCAGGAGACCACAGAACCCAAGGTGAGTCATTATTACCTGTCCTCCATCACCACCCAGGAGACCACTGAACCCAAGGTGAGTCATTATTACCTGTCCTCCATCACCACCCAGGAGACCACTGAACCCAAGGTGAGTCATTATTACCTGTCCTCCATCACCACCCAGGAGACCACTGAACCCAAGGTGAGTCATTACTTACCACTCCATGAACAAGGTGAGCTGTCCTCCATCACCCAGGAGACCACAGAACCCTGAGTCCTCCATCACCACCCAGGAGACCACAGAACCAAGGTGAGTCATTATTACCTGTCCTCCATCACCACCCAGGAGACCACTGAACCCAAGGTGAGTCATTATTACCTGTCCTCCATCACCACCCAGGAGACCACTGAACCCAAGGTGAGTCATTATTACCTGTCCTCCATCACCACCAAGGAGACCACAGATCTCCAGGGGAATACTGAGTTCTCCCTGGGCTCCAAGTCTAGCCAGGTGAACACGGAATCCCCTGTCTCCAAACTCATGATGCAGGAGAACGCATAATTTTCATGTCTCCAACTTCTCTAGGCAGGAGAAAACAGGTAAACATGTATATTAATTTTGAACTTTATATCTCTCAACCAAGAGAAATAAATTGAAGTAATGTCTCTCCTTGAATGAGATATTATTTGTCTCTCAGGCAATAATTCTCTCGAGTGATGTTATTCATACCCTGTATAAGTGTATATGCTGTCTCTAAGACATAATCTCTTCCAAATGATCTCTCAATCTCTCTGTTAGCTCTCACCTGTAAATCGTTTCTCTTCGTACTGTCTCCTATGAATGTTTTTCACCCCAAGTCTCTCTAGTTATCTCTCTAACCCCATAATCTCTCCCCAGCAATTTCTCACATCCTAAATATCTCACCTCAAATCTCTCCCTAAGAATGTTTCTCACCCCACTGCTCCTTAGTGATGTCTCTCATCCCATAACCTTTCTCCAGTCATGTTTCTCACCCCATGTATAACCAGGAATGTCTTCCCATATTCTCTTCAATAATGTCCCTCCTCATCTGTGTGCCAACAGTTGGAGGAGGCTGGTCGTCTCCACGCTACCTTACTACGACTCCTGAAGGCGACGTCAACGGCCAAGGGACCCCGGGTGACTCTCGACCAGGTTACTCTTACCCTCAGTACCCCGTCCTCTACCGCCTTGGACGACCAACTCGAGGCCAAGGACGAAGACGAAGACGAGAGACACCTCCAGCCCCAGGACCACAGCCTCCTTTACAGGTAGGTTATTGGTTGTTCCTCTACAGGTATCTATACTATAGGTAGTTCCTCTCAAGAAAACTACAGGTAAATCGTATCCAGGTACCTCCTTACAGCTATCTCCTCTACAGGTAGTTTATTTCTAGGTAGCTCCTCTACATGTAGTTCCTCTCCAGGTAGGCAGCTACCAAACAGGGAGGTACTACCGCCTGGGAAGATATTGGAAGCATAATGTATTGTCTAATGGTAGACCCTGCTGCCATATGGCATCACGAAAATTTTGACCAAATCCCAGGTTGCTGATCTGACTTTCTGCCACATTTACACACAATTGCAGGGTCTCAATTGTTTCTCTTACTATTGACAACACAACATACATATATTGTTTCTAACTCTTGATCTTGTTTTTCATTTTGTATTTCTTTGTGGTTCTTTATTATTATTATTATTATTATTATTATTATTATTATTATTATTATTATTATTATTATTACAGTGCTGTTGTTATTATTATTATTAGCATTATTATTTTATTTTCAAATTTGTATTATTTATTATAAAATATATTTACTATGAATTATTATTATTATTATTATTAAAATTTCGCCCCCCAGGCCCCGATGTGGGTCAGTGACCTGTGCCCGGGTGGGCTAATCCCAGTAAAAAAAAAAACAAGTAACTCATCTACAGATAGTTTTACTACAGGCATTACCTCTAAATGTATAAACAATAATATCATTGCAAAGTAACTGGTGTCTGACAAATTAAAACCAGAGACTAACTTGTGTATGGGTCGGGTGTCCTTCCCTCAGGAGTAAGGGCTCCCTGGCTCGCCTCAAGTGGGGGCAGCACCTAGGAGAGCGGCCTGCAGGTGTGGCGGTCAACCCTTGGACCTCCGAGATCTACGTCACCGGCAGCGACACCTGCAGGTAAACACAAATAGTTACTATCGCCGCCACCACCTGTCTGTCCTGAGAAGCATCATGCGGCGTCCTTCTCTGGCTCTTCTCCTTCTATACCGTACTATCTGCATTTTTATATTATTCTTCTTTCTCTTTTTCATTTATTCTATCCTTATCCCCCCCCCCTCTGTTTCTCTCTTTTGTTATTATTCCCTTGATTTTTTATATTAATCTCTCCAGTTTCTTTACCTCTATTTTCCTTTCTTAGTTTATCTATAGTTCTCTCTGTCTGTCTCTTTTGGGAATTGTTTGTTGATCTTACAACACTATCAGGCTTCAGTGTGTGTGAGTAGTGTAGTGGGAATATTTTTGTTTGTTATCTTACCCTTTCCATCACTCAACTAATGTGAATTGTGATGGTTGCCAGGAATGTCAATCAATAATGAGCTGAATTTTTTCGATACGTCAATTTTGTTGGTGTCTGGAGAAGTGCATACAAACTCCCATAGACAGACGCTAATACATCTTTGGTTACCTTAATTATTGGTTACAGTTCAATCAGACTTTCAGCCAAAATAACAAACTGTTTGAATTACTCTTAATTTGGCGTAGCTGTCCGTTGGAAGCTATAGTTTTTGGTCAGCGTCATATTCACAAAAAAACTACCAGTTAAACCTCAACACTGATCCACTTCTCTAAGAATGTTTTCCTCACAGCTCTGCATGATTTTGAAGACGTTATTGTTTTATTATTGGAGAGTCAAACCAGTCACGAGGTATTTAGAACCAAGCACTTGAGACCACCAAACACCAGAGTAGCTGTTTCAGATAAAATTTATAACTTTATTTTGAATGTAGCAGATGACCTGGTGTACTCTGCAGGGTGTTCGTGTTCGACAGTAGTGGACGGCAGTTGTCGTCGTTCGGATCCAGGGGTCACTCAGACGGTCAGTTCCTTTGCCCCATCGGCCTCGCCTTCAGCCACATCTCCAGGGAAGTCTTTATTACAGGTACGCCCCCCCCCCCCACACAATTGTCCTCTTGTCTTCTCTTCGGTCTTCTTATTGTTTTGGTTTGCTTCGTCTTAGTTTATACCATTGTTTTACGATAAACTTAAGAGTTAACATGAATCTGTCTGCCTCTGTATCAAGTGCACAATATATAAATTTTAATAATATAAGTATAAGAGAAGCATATTATTAAAACCATTATTTATATCAAATATATTTTAATATAAATGAACACGCTACCCTCTGTTTATCAACCACACATTATCAAGTCAGCGTTGAAGCTTCCTTTGGCACATTTTATTTATTTGTTGTTATACCACGAAGTAATAATAACAATTTGATACATTACCGTAAATTTTTACAATGCTTTCATGCATAACATATTTTTGGTCTACAACTTCAGACTTCCTTGGTGAGTTGACCTGTATCTCATTTCCCCACGTATATTTACCTCTCTACTGATTCTTCTTCATCCACCACACTTCTGACCCCACCTTACACGCCAACAGACAAATGGAAGCACTGTATCCACGTCTTCGACACAGACGGTAACTTCATCCGCCAGCTGGGTCGTAAGGGGAAGGGCTTCGGCCATTTCTCCGCGCCTGAGGGCATCGCTACGGACCGCCACGGCAACATATACGTGGCCGACACCTGCAATCACCGTGTACAGGTGTGTGTGTGCGTGCTATCAATTTCCCTGTAAGATTATCACTACCAGTTCCATATTATCTCTTTACTGGTAGCCACGTCGGTGTTGGTCTTTCCTCACCAGTCATGGAATTTGTCTCGCCAGTACTCAGTCATCACTAGCTCTTTCTCATTTCTCTTATTCTCTCTCTCTCACCATCCCTCTATCACAGATACTGGACGGGGACGGGGTATTCTTGAGGGAGGTTGGTGTGGTGTCATCGGAGACACTACAGGATGGTCGCCGCTATACAAAGACAGAGTTTAATGAGCCCACGGACGTCGCCGCCAGCCTAGACGGCTCCAGGGTCTACGTGGCTGACGCTGGCAATCATAGGATCAAGGTAGGTTCATCGAGGCTAGGTTGGATCAGCTATTATCAAGTAAAGGATCTACGGTTCACCAAAGTTCCTATGTATTGTACGATTGTCATCACGTTCAATCATGACAAGGGTTCAAAACAGGGGTACATAGTTGATATGATACTGTATTTTGGATGGAACCTGGGTATGTACGCGTATAAATAAGACGTTTATAGTGTATCTACAGGTCTTAAGATTAGTGCCATGCCAACTTCGAACCTTGAACTTAAACACGTATAAAAATTAATGTGTTAAAAAGTACAACTCCCAAACACACTCCATTGTTTCTTCACAGAAATTAATTACAAACGTTTTTTTTATATATACACAAACACAGGTTTCCAAAACAGTACAATGTGCAAATATAAACAAACACAATAGCAGGTTTATCATATGCCTTTTTTTTTTCAAAATCACCCTTTCAATCCATATCTTCTCCCAACTTTGATAAGTTAACGGTTAAAAATAAAATCAATACACCCACTAGACTACTTTAACTATTTCCTCATACTTTTGTCCAATCTTTTCACAAATTCTAGTGTTTGAATGGGGGGACCACTGTCTGTAGCTACGGTCACAGGTAAGAGCGTGTCTACCTGTGTGTGTTAAGAATCCCCAATGCGTTTATAATTCAAGAGTAGTAGGTGTAGGGGTGCCACAAGGTGATTGAATGTAGCGTGTTATCTATAATTAACGAGTAACAGAAGTCCTCCTGCATGTGTAAAAGAGTATACTTATAATCAGGAAATAACTTACGTATTTTTTTGCAGAGGTAACAGCTAGACTCTCCTGCAGTTTTTGAGAGTTTATCACTTATTATGTAGTAACAAGTGTCCTCTTGTAGGTGTTTGACGGGATGACCGGGGAAAGGACGTTGATGTTCGGGTCCCGGGGCCGCCATAAGGGTCAGTTTGAGTCTCCTGAGTGTATCGTTGTTGATCATGAGGGCTTTATCCTCGTCGGCGACTCCGGCAATGGTCGCGTCCAGGTGTTCCGGCCTAACGGCAACTTCGTCAGGTAGGTCTCCTCTTTGTGGGTGAATAAATTATCATATCTAAGTTTTTAATACTATCGTATACACCAATATAATAAGTCTGATTAAGTAATATACATGGTAATTATTGAATAATATATTCAAATTCAGAAATAAACAGAATGGTGTATAACAAGAGAAGTAAATATATTGCTGTCACACCAGCAGAGTTAATCATAAAAAAAAAGAATATAGGTATTTTTTATGCATAGGGCATCGTAGCATAGTGTGTCATGGTATGTTACCGTATGCATAACCTATAAGAACCAGGTATGAAAACTTTACTGTTACCAGTATGCCCCCTTGAAGCGTCCTACTCCCTTGTACCAATACACTGCATCCCTGTTCTCCTGCTCTCAACTTGTAGCTTGAATATTCCCTCCGCAGTGGCCAGTACATAAACCACATTCGCCTACATACTGTGCTGTGCTGCACCGACTATATCTCCCAGCCAGTATATTATCCCTCATCCTTACTGTGCCCCTCACCTGAGCCCTCCTCCCGTACTGTAACTGAGATATGTCCCTTGCTGTTCGCCACTTTCTCTTTCAATCGTCTACCTCTATTATGCACTCACACTGTAGCCAACACCTCCTCTTTCAGGTATCTGGGGACGCGAGGAAACAGTCGTGGGGAGTTCGGCTGGGTGTCTGGGGTAGGCCTCTCCCGGACGCTCGACATTGTGGTTACCGACTTCAAGAACAACCTCGTCGCCGTCTTTTAGTTGGGTCCAGGACGTCTACAGGATGGGATGTTGTTGTCTGTTGCTCGGTACTGTGACGGGAATCACTTCTCAGCCTACTCGTGTGCGTGTGGGGAATTGTTATAGATTCCCTGAAGATTAAATTTGTATTAGTTTATTATATTCATTCCCAAATCATAAAAGTTATTTCTTCATTAAATATATATTTAATGTAAAAGTTGTTGATATTATCAATATTCTTGTTGGTATTTTAAGCGTTACTTTATACTGTATATTTGAATACTGTGAAGACTGGCTAAAATTTTATATATTTACACAAAAACACATGGATGATCCATTGAAATATTAATCTTGAAAAGGTTAGCCAAGAATAATTAAATACAAATTATGGGAACCCTCAGCTTATATCACCCTTATAAGGAGCATGTGAGCCATAGAGAGATTCAGAAAACATGTGGTTTCTTCCCTTGGATGTTTATTTTCGTTTGGAAAGAATCCAGCGAACCCAAAAAGTTGAGACTCATACACAGTGCTCCTAGATGAGGCTAACATGCCTCTGCTCCTATGGTAGTGTAAGGACAAAAAAGCATTATTTGAACATGGAACCATTATCATATCATACTCCACTATATCCATGAAGTGATATTTATATAAGTGTGGTAATGATGAAACTGGAAGTATATTACATTTTTTTCAATATACCAGTTTTCATAGTTTTGAAGTTTTGTTGTTGTTGTTGTTATTTGTTTGTTTACAGAACTAAGACGCCTACTAGAATGCACCTGCTACATATTTTTTATAATTGTGCTTGTGATTCATCCTGTGATACTATGGTGCCGTCCAATGGGTTCCAGTCCTAATAGGTCCCAACCCTAATAGGTCCCAGTACTAATAGATCCCAGTCCTAATGGATCCAAGTCCGAATGGATAGGAATGGCCTATTAGAACTGATACCCATTTATGTTGCAACCGATATTATGATCACCACGAGGGATTGTTGACATTGGCATTGGTGTAAATAAACAGTTGAATATAAATACTGTAGTTTTATTTATTTTTAATTAAGAGTCTTTGAAGTACCTCCTGTTCTTTCTATGGTGGGAAGATTACCCCCCCCCCTCCCCGCACACACTACCGTATATTCTCAAACAAACATAAACATAATCATGGAAGACATTTTCACTTCCTCAAGATGTGTGTATAGTCTATAAATATTCTTCCCTTCTTATTCCGATCTGTTGACCTTACTCCCTGTCCTTTACCTAACTCTCTCTTTTATGTTATTCTCTCCCTTTATATGGTCGAATTTTAGTTAAGATTCTTACTGTCTCTGCCTGTCCATCTTTCTGTCTCTCAGTGGTCTTTTTTCCATGTTTTCTCTATACTATACTGTCTATTTGGTCTTCCTACCTCACCTCTTACTAAATTATGTATCAAACACATTGTATAAAAATCAAATTTTTATTCTGTAAGTAGGTCTTTGATTTAAGGGGCTGAAAAAACAAAACATATCCCGTCATATTTACTTTTTAATAAAAGGAAATAAAGTTCTTCCCATAACCAATCATATTTAAAGAACAAAAATTACATGCTGCACGTCTTCTGTCATAAAATAAAGGTATGTCAAAAGTAATAAAATCCATGAATTAAACAAAAAGACAAAAAGAAGCACTATGTAAAAAAAAGTGAATTTCAGATTGGGAATACGAATCTATGATGAAATAAATATTCATTAACTAGACAATTTCTTGTTATATATCTTGTCCGATTTAAAGAATACATGAACATCAACTCAGTCTTCAATAGCCAATTAAACTATGACAGACAATACAGAATAAGGTATTTCTTTAAAAATTCAGTAGCTATCATAATAGATTACATCATATTTGAAAACTCATCCATAAAGCAGTCAACAATACATCCTGCGAGTCGAGCAAAATCACAAAATAAAAATATATACAGTATACAATACTGTACTACGATAATATATAGTTCTCCTGAATATCAGCTGTCCTCATGTACTGCTCATTAAAATCATGGCCAGTAATTCATTCTGAACATAACAAAACTGAGAGGAAATTAGTGAATATCAAAATCAAGCCAAAAGTGTCAAAATTCATGACAGATATTGCTATCTCAAACTGAAAGTAATATTTAAACGACAAGGATTATAGTCGTATCAGAGGAAACTTAACCAACCTTAATCCAATTCTGAATCAAGAAATACACAACTTATAGTCAATGTCTAAAAAGAAATGAATAAAACCAAGTCAAGTAATTCCACAGACAAAAATTATTGCTTAAAAAAATGTTAAAGAAAATCACCATCTAAGAAAAATAATCGCACAATCGTTGTCTTCTACCTTAGTGATTTTTTTTTCCAATTTGTTGATTAAGTAAAACTTACTACAGTATTTACCGTTACGTGTCAGTGACATTCCTTACGAGCGTTGTTTGTTGTCTTTTTCTTTATCATATTTATATATTTATTTATATTAATTTTTATGAGCTTCAAATTCATTTCCTTCTCTGCTAGATTCATTTTCTCGTATAGGTTAAGCTTTGTCTGAACTTTCTTTTCGTCCGTAGAACTTGCATTTGCCCTCATCTTGTGTTGAATAATTTTCCAAGTGCTGAAAGCTATGAGGATTTGTCTCTGTTTTCGGTAATTCATAATAGTTTTCACATTCTTGTTCACTGAAAACATGTTATTCTGTCTATTTTTCTGTTCTTGGTGTTTTCTTTCCCTAATAACTTGGTATGATTTTAGCTCATTTACTTTCCAGATTTCTTTAGCCTTAGTTATACTCTTTCTCTTATTAATATTCTTTGTCTTTTCTGTTTTCAGTCCTTGAAACTTCCTTTCTTTCATTTCATGGTATGATTCTTTTTCGTTTGATTTGATTCGCAATTTCTTTTCAATCTTACCGTTCCTCACTTTCCGACCCTTTTCACTGAGGTAATCCCTAGTAACTGCTGTGCAAGTTCCTCTTAAGTCGAAATCTTCCAAATCATGATCGTCGTTGGAGGTACAATAAACTTTTACACAAGCACAATTGCTCTGAATTTCTGACCGACTACTTTCTCCAATTACTGGAGTTTCACTACTTGTCCAACCTTCACTGCTTAAAATGAGTTTAACAGTCCTTTGACCCAAACTGCTGCTACTGTTGCTCCAACTTTCCCTATCTAGGTCTACTGTCCGTGGTCCTAGTCTGGATTCTCCGGACCCTAGTTTCGATTCTTTATAGCCCAATTTAATTTCTCTGGATCGAGGCTTGGGAAGAGAGGTGCGCACTGTTTTGGAAGAAGTGCCTGGGCCAGGATTATCATTATACATATTACTATCACATGTCTGGGCCTCTTGTAATTTTTTTGACAGAAGAGGAAGGTGAGTTAAGAAATTATTTGTCAAGATTGCATTAGTGTTGTGTGGGATGTCATCACCTTTGTTTACAGGATCTACTTCCCCGACCAAGGAACTCTTTGTCGATGAAGCTGGTAAAGAACATTCTCCACTTGTTTTATTTTTCTTACTCAAAAGAGTATCTCTTACTTTATCTTCTAATTTCAGTGTTTTTATCAATGAATCAACAATTCCAGTGTTGGAGAATTTCCTTTTAAGACTGCAATACAAGACGCTCTTATGACTCTGAAGAGGTGTAAGGTTTTCATGCATCTGCTTAATATGTTCACTCTCCGTAAATATTCCTGATTGCACTCTTTGCAATAACGTAGATTCGTTTATGTTGTCAAAATCATCCAATCCTGAATCCATGGAAGAGGACGTAGATGAAATAGTAATAATTTCTTTATCATTATCATCCAGGTGTACAGTTGGTACACCTGAGCAAGTATGGTTCGTCTTCATACGTTTTGCATTATGCCTCGTTCTGCGAATCTTGGTGCGTTCCCCTATTGATATCAAGGTTCCATCAGAATCTATGGTATGATTTTCAAGTAACTCGTTACAATTATCTAACTCAACACTTCCAAATGATTCTTTCGTCTTCTTCCCTGTTTTGGTCACTTGGTTCTCAATCAATGCATGGCGACTGTCCATTTCCTGTCCTGCCTGAACTGATGTTGGGCATGACAATTCCAGTGAAGATCCGCACAGATTCTTATTGATCCCTGGTGTGACGCTTACTGATGGGCCAGACATGTCTTTATTACTACATTTTATTGCATCAACCTTCGTAGCCATTCGTAGGTTTCGTTTCAAATCAGTGCCATCAGGTTTAGCGCCTTTTCTGGTACAAGTAGCTGACAATGCAGTTTTGCGCTTTGATTTAACCCTAATTTTATCTCTGTACTGCAGTGAGGTAATTTGATCATTTTGTAACTGACCTTTACTGTCTTTCTGAAACTCTGAAATTCCCAGAGCGACACTCTCGATGACTTTGTCTAAATTACTCATCTTCCGCAGAGAACCAGTAGGCAATCCTAAAGGTCCCACTCCAGAAGTCTCACAGTAATTCACAGAAATTTTCTTAGGTCCTGAAGATTTGACTTCTAAAGTCCCAAAAGTATGTTCCATTATAACATCGTCAACCGGTTCCCCCGTTGCGATCACCTCCAGCCGGTTCATCGAGGAAGGAAGTTCCCCAAATAAATCGCCATTTTTGTCAGCAACAATAGCAGGCATGTCATCATTTATATCAGGCTGCCCTTCGGAGAAAACTTTTCCCCCAAAAGAATCCTGTCCAAGGAATCTGTGGTTCACACATGTTTCTTCCATGGTTGATATTTTCCTGCCAGAGGCATCCTTTTCTAGGGGTACCGATCGTATAACCTTGTTCATTGTTGTAATCTTCCATGGCATCTTTTGCAATTTTCTCTTGCGTGATCTTTGAGAAAGCATTGTCTCGACAGTAGCCTTAGTCACCTCGCAATTATTTGTAGTCAAGTTAACATCCTTAGCCTCACTGAAGAGGCATCCTTCCTTGGTCCCTTGGCTAGTGACACAACTACCCCTGGGGCCCTCTTGATTGGCGGTAGGCAATTGGTATGAGTCAATCTCACAAGGATCACGGATCCCTTCGGCGAATGTTTCACCGCTTCTCTGAACAGCAACACGTTGACTTGACGTATTCGTATTTGGAGTACCTGTGTGACAGACCTGGCTCTTACCCTTCTGCTGATAATGCTCTGATAATAAATTGAGTGCAGAGGCATGAAGCAATACCATGGGCTGCGCTGACAGACCAGACCAAATGTTGTTTTGGATGCAGTTAACAGCGCTCTCGCTTTCGTCATTCAGATATGCTGGTGGTACACTGTCAATTGCAAATGAATTGTGAAATTCTTTCTTAATTTTAGTCTGAGGAGGCAGGATGTCGTCTTTGTGATTCTGTACAGAAGTCACCAAAGCACATTGCTCTTCCTGAGGGGGTGAACGTTTGTAAAGCGTTCGAGTTGATGACGTATCTTTCAATAGTGTCCTGGCTGGTGATACAGACTCCAATGGCATCCTGGCTGATGACACATCTTTACGCGGTGCCCTGAATGACGACTCATTTTTTCTTGGTACCCTGCCACTCTTCATTGGCACCGTTGATGATACATATTTTCTTGGTTCTCTGGCTAATGACGCATCCTTTACTGGTGCCCTGGGTGCTAAATCATCCTTACTAAGTGTACTGGCTGGTGATATGTCCTTTCCTATTGATATAGTCAGTGATACATCCATTCTTGGTGCTCTCGCTGGTGATACTTCCTTTCCTGGTGCCCTAGATAAAGAAACATCCTTTTCTGGTGACCTGGTTGACGTACTTCTCCTAGGTGACCTTGCTGGTGATATATCCATCCTTGGTGCCTTGGATGATGATCTATCTTTTACTGGTGCCATGGATAATGACAGTTTATTGCTTGATGTCCTTGATAAGGACAAATTCTTTCTTTTTACCCTAGCTTGTGACACATCCTTAACTGGTGCCTTGGCTGGTGACACATCCTTCACTGGTGCCTTGGCTGGTAACTGTCTATTTCTTGATGCTCCTGATAGTGACAATTTCTTTCTCGGTGCCTTGGCTGG